GAGCAAAGGGTCTGAATACTTAGGACCATGTGATATTTCAGTTTTTCTTTTTTAATAAATCTGCAAAAATGTCAACGATTCTGTGTTTTTCTGTCAATATGGGGTGCTGTATGTACATTAATGAGGAAAAAAAAATTAACTTAAATGATTTTAGCAAATGGCTGCAATATAACAAAGAGTGAAAAATTTAAGGGGGTCTGAATACTTTCCGTACCCACTGTATATATATATATTTTTTTTTTTATATATATTTATTTATTTGTTCATATTTGTTGGTATGTGTGGTGTCTCCTGGACAGTGTGCATGTCTCAAGAGTGACTCATATGTGTTTATTCAGTGTGACAAAAGCACACTCATCAAGTCCAAGCTGTAAATTTAAAGCCATTTGGCGGCGACTGGGAAATATTATATATGACCCTTTGCGTGGCACTGCTTATTAAACAAGTCATGCTGATGTATTTCCTTAAGACTTCAGGCTTCAGAGGAGGGATTCTCTCTTTAAACAGCCATGATCATTCACCAGTTCAAGTTTATTACAGGAGACATAAAGTAATCTCTAGTTTGACAGTGAAACATTACACTAGATCACTATTGCACCAGCATATGCCATCAACTGACTTCTGATGGATGTTATAACAGTGGAAATGTATTGCAGCTATATATTTTGCATTTTATATTTATAGGCTACTATAACAGAAAAAATAAAATATTTTGAAGAAAACCCCCAAAACCATACAAGGATCACATTGGATCAATATTTATTTATTTGTTTGTTTACACTTAAATAAAAATCCTATATTTATTTATTTTTAATATGTTTTCCCATATTTTAGTGATCTATATTGGTAGATAGAATGAAAGTATATTTATATATTTATATTTTATATGTGTGTTTTGTATTTAATATTTATATTACAACATAAAAAATATAAAGTAAGTCCCAATATCCATATAAGGATCACATTTTTTTTCCACACCAAAAACAATTTCTATGTGTATTTTTTTTTTCTATGTGTATTTAATTTTTCATAATTTTCCCATATTTTTTCCTTTTTTAAATACTTATCTACATTGGTGAATTGATACAATGATGGATGGATGGTTGGCTGAATAGATATATATTTATATATTTTTAAAACTATATTTTTAGAAACTGAAACTTGTTTTTAAACTCTTATCCAGTTATGATTAATGGAAATATGTGAAAATATATGCATGTTGATATATTTATAATGTATATATTCTAGAAAGTAAATCCCCAAAACCCTGCATGGATCACATTCATTCTTTCTTTCTTTCGTTCGTTCATTCGTTTGTTTAGTTACACACAAACAAACAATTCCTTTGTTTACATATTTTCCCCTTTTTTACAGTTATCTTTTTGTGAATGGATAAAATGATGGGTGGATGAACAGATTTTCATTCATGATTCATTCAAATATATGAAGATGTATAGAAGATTAAAATTATGAAATACATTTTTTTATGTTTTTTATATTTATATTTATATATATATATATATATATTATTACTATTTATTTTATTATTTATTGACTCGCAAACACATTGAAAATCCAATCCACTCCAAAATCGCGCCTGTCGCTTTAAATGTGGGACTCAGCCTGTGGAATGCGCCTCATGTCCCATAATCCCGCGCGGCGCAGTGCTGGGACAGTCAATCTACATCCAGCAATCGCGATTGGCGCTGCTTTTTTAGGTTGCCAGGTGATGTGTTGTGTGTTTTTGTGCGGCTGTCATAGAAACCAGAGTGATGTCTGAGGTGATGAGCTTGTAACAGGCGTCAACGGCGCCATAAACGGTGAGTTAGTTCAGAGCAACAGGTGTTTGCTAACAGAGCTAATAAAAACTGAGCCGCTAAAACACGTTCAAACTCACTACAAACGGCTGCTTTTTTACGTCGCGTAGGTAAATGTTCAGCTACAGGTGGCTCTTTTTAACCTTATAACTGACAGTTGCGTTCAAATAAGTGAAGGCTGGCTCAGTTGCTGGCTCTGAGGTCAGTTTAGGGGCCATTGTGTTGAGTTTGATTGGCTAGTCAACCAGGTCAGTGTTATGCAGGACTTGAGGAACTTCAGTCACACTCGCAGACGTTTTGTTTTTCATACACGTTGATTTATTCATCATGCTCGTTCATTCATTTATCATAGTCGTTCATTTGGCTAATTGCAATACATTGAGTTGATTGTGTGTAGCAAAAATATTTAACACGTTAGTTAAACATTACAACGTAAGTCCCAGCTAATCAATAATGACGTCAAGTTACTACTAGAATGAGTTGCTAGGGTGTTCTGGCTGGTTGTTGCGTGGTTGCTAGGGTGTTCTGAGTGTTGGTTCTTGTTGTTTGCTAGTTTTATTGTCCACCAGACAAAAACTGTAAGCCTGGCAAGTTAAAAAAGTAGGTTACAACCTAAAAAATAAAACAATTAAACATTTATATAGTAAAAGTGATGAAATATAGTTTCACAATCATAGCATTCGTTTAAATATGTTTTGGTTCTGATTTAACAATAAATTTGTTTATAATACATTCATTCTTTATTTTATTATTTAAAAATCATTTATTTGATAAGAATAAGTTATATTATTTAACAATACTACAATTCATGAAAAAGTATTATTATTATTATTATCTATTGGCAGTACATAATAAATTAAAATAATCACAATGCATCTGTCTGTTCTTATAGTATAATAATTGTTATTGTAAAAAAAAACAAGTATACAATTAAATAATTAGTTCTAGGTTACTGCACAAAAATACATTTCAAATTTACATTTATTTTACATTTTTGTTTATTAAAATGCATTTTTGTTTGAAATAATAATGGTTTATATATTATTATGTAATATTGCATTATACTTTTCATAAAACTTTCATTATTATTATTTAAGTTATATTATATTATTATATGTATTATTATATTACATTAAGTTATATTATAATTTAAGTATATTATTTCATTATTGTATTATTTAAGTTTTTATTTACAATGCAGATTTTTTTCTCCAATAACAGAAATATAGAACTGATTTTAAGTAAATGATTATTATACTATATCAATAGACATGACATTTTGTTTTTATTATTATTGTCATTATTTATTCCATTATATTTATGCAAATCCCCCAAAATTTAGTTTTGAAATCTGAAAATAAATAAATAGCAAGCAAACTACTAACTAATAAAAGTGAATAGTAATAGTGATGCTTGCCTAAATAAATATGATTTGAATTTTGAAGTTTGACAAAATCAAGCATTTTATTAGAATATTTTGGGTCAGATTTAACATTTAATTAGTTTTTAATACAACAATTTGTTGAATATTACCTCCTATCTTATCAATGGTTAATTCAGTCTTGCATTGTTCTGAAAATTGTTATTCTGTGATACAGAAGCTGGAAACAACAAATATGAGTCATTTAATACTCAAGAGTTTTTCATTGTTCTAGTTAACAGTGTAGTTCTTGTGGTTTTGGTGACGTTCTAAGCACTTTTCATCTGTTTATGGAGGAATAGTGGAGTTTGGATGCTGGAGCTGTCCTAAGCGGGACGGTCACATGCTGTTAATTGCGTTTGTCCAGATTCTCCTCCTCCGCATGCCAGAGCGCGGTCAGGTGCACCGTCCCGTCGGCTCCTCTGGAGCTGCGCTTTGATGACCCAGGCTCAGAGCGGGAGATAAATAACACTCTGCGTTCGGCCCACGTTCACATTCCAGCGGGCGGATCATGTGATGTGATAACAGGATTATGAATGATCCTCGTCGAGCGACTGTTCCGTTTTCAGCCGTATTTGACATTCCAGAAAGTCATTAGACGTTTGTTTGATCTTGACGTTGAGCTGAATGTGCTTTGAATAAAGCCTTTCTCTGGACTTCCTTAATGTTGGTCACAGGCAGAAGTGTTTTATTTCCGTTTTATTACTAACTAAGAATTACAGGGGTTTGCTGAATTGCAAAATTTTAGATTTTTAAATGTAGTTGCAGTTTAAATGCTTACAGTTTATGCTGGCCTGGACTTCACTGGAACTTATTTAAATGTGATCTGCTAGTTTTATTTTATAATATATTGTTTATCATTCTCAAAAAAGTAAAAAGAGTATTATTTAATTATTTGTAATTAAATTTTTTTTTTTTTTAATTTATACATTTAATTTATTAATTTTATAATTAAAAAATTATTGTAATTATTTATTAACACAATGACTATTAAAGTATAGAGCTCAACTACGATTACATTTTATGATTGTTAATAGATCATTTTTGTGCCTGATAACTGATATGGAGAATAGTTATTGTTGTTTTTACTTTTGTTTTATTTGTATTAATTTGTGTGCATTTATTAATATTCCAATATAATAACATTATTGTCTAATAAAACTAAGGCCGTGATTATGTCTGATAACTGATATGGAGATTTCATGATTATTACTAGATCATTTTTGTGTTTGATAACTGTTAGATTTAATTGTTTTCACTTCTGTTTTATTTTTAATAATATTATGCATTATGAATATTCTAATATACTAATTCTACTATAATAATTTTTTAGCTTATATGATTGATGCCATGTTTATGTCTGATAACTGATATGGAGAATGGATATTGTTTTTGTTTTTTTTACTTCTGTTTTATTTGTATTAATTTGTGTACATTATTAATATTCTAATATAATAATTTGAATATAACAATATTATTATCTAATATAATTAATGCCATGTTTATGTCCGATAAATGATATGGATAACAGAAGTTAAGTTTCTTTTTTGAACTTCTGTATTTTATTTATTTATTTGTTTATTTATTTCTGTATTATTTATTTATTTCTGTTTGACTCGATAACAAAATGATATTTATGATAAGTATACAAACAAGACTTATGAATTATTTAATTATTAATAACAACTTATGAACTATTTAATTATGAATATTTTAATAACAAATAATTTTTTTAAAATTAGTAGTTGTAGTAATAATAATAATGATTATTATTCATGCCACTGTTTATGCCGAGTTGTTTCATTATCTAAATAATGCAGTGATCAAATTTATTTTCATCTTTGTTTTGAGCTTTTTAATTAATCTACACATTTCTTACAAGTAGAATGATTGTTGTTTGGTTGTTGAGTAATTATCCAAGCAACGTTCTATGGCTAGATGCTAGCAGTTAGTATAAACTGGAGGGACATTTCATCTTTGGGAGCATTGTATTGGATACAAAATTATATATGCCCTTGCGAACTGGATGAGAAAGAATGAAAGTACATTTAAATGTGTACGTCTACTTGAGTTGAAATTCAACATTCATGCTAGCATTTCTATAAACGCTCTCAAAGCAAATAGTCATGGACTATTGGATGTTACATATTTCTATGGAATAAAGTGTCTTAAAGTTATGTTGCACAACATGAAGTTTGTCACATGTCAGTGTTTTCTGCTCTGGAGCTCCTGTGAAGCAGCAGGCATTGATCAGTGCCTCAGTTTGCTGTGTTTCTATTTAGGTTTGTGGCTAAATGGATGAAATCGGTCACTTTACGGGGTGAAAAGTGGAAAATGGCCTGCAGGGATGTAGCAGAGGTCTTTTGAATGATAATAAGCACTTCTGAAAGCTCTTTACTCCCGATAAACCTGCACAGATTGTTGGTTTGCTGGCGTTATCAGATCTTTTTGTTGCAACGTTATGGAGAAAAACACTATGCTTTTAAATACAAATATCTCTCAGATTTATTAGTGCATTTTGACTGTTACTTCTTTGATATTTTTTTTTACAATAAAAGCAGCATTGTGAAACAACTGTCCCGTAGGGTTACGACATCCGCCCCTGTTCTTCAAGTCCTCCCCTTCACATGCAAATTCAGTTTACGGGACAGTCTGATAAACTGGTTTTGATAAGGAAAGCACTAACCTGTCCCTCTCTCCACCATGATCTGTGTTTGGACGTCAGACTGCGCCGTCAACGTCCACAAGAGCTGCAAGAACCTGCTGCCCGAGTGCAGCAGCAAAAACAAGGTAAGATTCGTTCACGTTTAGACTTTGTTGAACAGACTTCACTCTGTTTGTTTAAATCAAATGAATTGGGTTCCTACAGAAAATAAAAGAGTTTATCTTTGTTCAAAGGAGTGGCAGAGTGCGGTTTGTTGTAAATTATAAACTAAGCTGGTCTCTGTTAGTAAAAACGTGTTTTTGTTTTTCGCAGACAAAAGACTTGGCGCAGAAGACATCAAACGCTGCAGCTCAGTCGCATAGTCAAGGTAAGCAGTTTTTTTTGTGTGTGTTGTATTTGATGCTCATTGAGTAGATGATCAAATCAGTGTTTGTTTGCTCATCCGATGACATGTTGATGCCAAAGACTTTGTGAAACAATTTTGTAGTAAATGTTTGTATGTGATACTGAAAGTAGTTAAACTGCAGTCAAGTCGCTGTTTTAAAAACACTACAAGGTAATGGGGGTTAATATTGGATTTGTTTAATGGGGCATTCATTTATTTAAGGGACACTGTGGTTTCAAATCATGTTATCTGAATTGTTTTCACAGCAATTGAAACTAAAGTTGAAGTTATTTACACTAAATATCACCAATGAATCAGAAGACGTAGAAATGAATGATAGAATTTGATCAAATATTATGTATATTTAAGAAAAAAGCTTATTTTTTTACGTTTATTTATGCTATAAAATTGTAATTTAACTGTAAATAGTCACACAGGCATCAGGATTGGGAGTCAAATGAATCTGTGAATCGTTTTTGAATTGCTAAATCATTTTTGAATTAGTGAATCGTTGTTGAATTGGTAAATCGGTTTTTAATTTGCGAATGGTTTTTTGCATCTGTAGATAATTTTTGAGTCAGTGAATCATTTTTAAGCGAGTGAATCATTTTTGAATTGGCTCGTTTGAAGTAGTCACTCGAACAAATCAATTTAGTAAATTGAATTTCCCAAATGTTTTGTTTGCGAGAGAGTGGACGTGTGTTCACTTGCGTGTGCGACAGTTTTATTTTAGTAGCCTATTATTTATAAGGGTGTTGAAATTAATTTATGTATTGCGATGCGGATGTTGACGATTCTGCATTGATGCAGTCATAGACCATAATCGATTATAGCCTATGACGTCATTCGCATACGCGCTCATCACGGGAGTATTAAAAATGCACTCTCTATTTTTAAATCGGAGCTTGGCTTTTTCCCGCATATGGCACGTGTGTGCGCCAGAGACAAACGCGGCGGGCTTCATTGCACAGAATATGCGCTGTGAGACACGTGCGTATTGCTTGACAGTGCTTCCACTCGCTGTTATTTTTGTCTTTTACTTTAGATACGCTTTCATTTCTGCTCTCTTCAATGATTCTGAATCGATTGTAAACATTTCAGAATCAGTTCTGAGCTTGGTTTTTTCCAGAATATGACACATGTGTGAAACTCACGTACTGACAGACTTTCAAGTGCGCTTTGTGTTTGTTGTCCTGAAGCTCACGGCTCGGGTTAATTGCACTAGCATCTCTGAATACTTTTATGATACGAAATTGATGTAAACACAGTCAGTTATGTTTTCAGAACAGGACAAAACATCTGATATGTGGAAATAGATTAATTTAATTTAATTAATAATTAATTGATGCATTTAGCAGACGCTTTCATCCAAAGCGACTTACAATGCATTCAGGCTATACATTTTTTACCAGTATGTGTGTTCCCTGGGAATTGAACCCACGACCTTTTGCGCTACTAACGCAATGCTCTACCACTGAGCCACAGGAACACTATAGATCTATAGATCTGTGCATTAGTGTGAATGCAGTTTATTAAAGCTGCCACAGTGTGTGATCTCATCAGTAATAATCAAATGGCAATAATGCTGAGGAAAAAAATAAAAACTATGATTATCTGTAAACTTTCAATACTTAAAGCACTCTTGATACTAAAAGTGCTTTTTGTTTATCACTTGTAATTGTCAATATCTGCTTGTATGTTTTGAAGCTATATTTACTTTAATTCTTAACAATAATTAATATATTAATTAACGTAATTAATTAATTTAAGAAGTAGCCTGCTTATATAATTTAATAAAAATGCACAAAATAAATTTGATATAATCGTGATGCATCGTGATATCGAATTGAATCGAATCATTGACATGATAATTGTAATCGAATTGAATCATGAATCCAGTGCTTATTCACACCCCTACTGTCATTAATTACTCACCCTCATGTCTTTCCAAACCCGTAAGACCTTCGTTCATCTTCGGAACACAAATTAAGATATTTTTGATTAAATCTGAGCGCTCTCTGACCCTGCATGCGCGCGCTTTCCCCTGAACGTAAACAACACTGATTACGCATGCGTCATGCTACTCTCCAAAATGGCGGAAGGAGGTAACTCAGGGGAGAAGAAATGTTGAATAAAGTCGTTATTTTTGTTTTCTTTGCGCACAAAAAGTATTCTCATGGCTTCATAAAATTAAAGTTGGTGGACTGTTTTATCGATGTCCTTACTACGTTTCTGGGCCTTGAACGTGGTAGTACCCTTGCTGTCTATGCAGGGTCAGAGAGCTCTCGGATTTCATCAAAAAT